TGCTGAGAATAACTCTGATATCTTCTCGCTTACCTATGCATTTTGTGGCTGGAAAACCTTCGGGTTTTAAGTATTTGCACCAGAACTTCGTCTGGTTTCTATCAGCCACGATTTTACAAATCAGTGAGCCACTCGTGACAGATCGCGCTGCGCATATTTGTTTGAGTTTGAAAATGTCTTCTTCATCATGGCGCTGCACACACGAATGGCGCTTGGTGCTGTAGTTTCTATGAGTGCGTAGCTGCCACCATTAGCTTTTCAGAGAGTGGTTGTTTGTGGGAAATGGCCAAAGAAAAGTAATGATATAACAAAAGTCGTATTTTTGTAGACTGTGAATTGACTCAATTGCGAAAATGATGGGTAGTTAAATGGTTAATGGTGCCCGCTGGTTTGCAGTATGTGAGTAGCTGTCATAACAAATCGATTAGAGTCAGTTGGCTATGGGCGTTTGGTCATTCCAATCCGCTCAAATCCTGCACGACTCGTTCTTGGTTTGTGCTGAAGGCTGATGCGCACTAGTCGTGTGACCTCTTCAGTGATCCAAACCCAGCCTACGCGTACATGTTGGGGCGTATGGTACTCACTGCTGTGTAGAGGCGACGGCTCGATACCGGAACGGCTTGACAGCCAAATTTGTATAGACCCAAACCGATCATCAGCGTCGATTTTTTTTACTCGAAATATGTTTGTGGAAGGAAACTGGCATGTTGAAGTTTGCTCTGGGGCCAGAGTCAATCGAACTGAGCCACTCCTTTGTGTTGACCCATTGCCTCCAAGTTGCCCAATTTTTCGCTTCAAAAAAGTTCAAATCAGAGGTGGCTCCAAACCGGACATGTTTTAGAGTGCACGTCAAATTCGCTCTGGGTCTGAAATTAGGTACCGTATTTTCTCTAATAAAAGCCCAGGTCTCTAATAATAGCCCAGTCTCCAATAATGACCCGGCCGGGTGAGGGTGGTTTGAAATAATAAGAGCATAGTCTCTATTAGTAGCACGGGTCACAATTGGAGTATGCAACAAGTAGGAGTACATTGACTGCATATAAAACAGCAGTACAATATGCCAAGAACATATTTGTAAGGAGCTTTTCAGTCTACTGCTTCCTTCCTGGCGCCAATGCTATTGTGAAACATCTGTTTTGACAATATTCCTGAGTTTAGGGTTGAAAAATCTGTCTTGATATGGTCAATTTATGCCTGTATAGACTGGAGTTGGCTTGATAGTTGACAATTGAAAAAATAAGAGCCCAGTCTCCAATAATAGCCCAGTCTCCAATAATAGCCCAGTCTCTAATAGTAGCACGGGTAGAGCTGTCACTGAAAAAATAAGAACCCCGGGCTCTTATTGGAGAAAATACGGTAATTGCTATCGCTCCACGACGGCCAGTACAGAGTAACAATAAACCTTGTGTGTGCTTCCATTAGTTTTCATTGGCATGCGGTGCTTTATTGGCGAGAGGCAAGCCGCTGTTTACCTGCGACAAGAAGTTGATTTTTCGAAAGTCGTAAAACTCAAGTCGCAGTGGGAAGCAACACGTCAAAAACTCAAATGCTTGGTATGGCGCTTCTGGTCATCGCAGAGCGATGGAATTTTGGCGCTGAGTAAAACATCGTAGTCTCACTGTCACATACGTTTTCTAATCAAAATACCAAGAGAGAAAGTGAATATTGAGACCGTTCCGGCTTGCAACCTATGTCCTATTTGAAACCGTCGCCTCTACTCACTGCTGTGTACATCTTGATACAGAACTCGACATCGTGGTATCTCATTCAGCCAATGTGAAATCCTAGTGGAAGATTTGAAATATCATGACATGTGATAATGTAAAAATAAGGCGCACAGGCGGAGACCACGTGTAGCAGCAGAGCTATCACTTCGGGGTTTTCTTCATTTGCAGCGCTTACAGTCCATTTCAAAACTATAGACGCGTACCTAGGCAAAAACCGTTATGCCAGCATCTATACCACATAAAATCTGTGATCACTTTGTGCATAAATTTTTCCAAATTGGGCGTCTGTTATCCAATCGTTTAGAAACTATATGAGAGTAATTGTGGAGCGGTCCTGAGCAATATTCCGAAAACTATTCTGAAAAAGTTTCAGCCAAATTTGAAATATTTCAAAAACCCTACGCGTCTATAGTTTTGAAATGCACTGTAGTAACTCTTGCCACGGACTGTGCGGAACAGTGCTTCGCCTTTACTAGTAAACCATGGTAAACAGCAGTACTAGTATGTAATTGATACGTAATTACAAACACACTCACCGAAATCCGCCGAAAAAAAACCCGGAAAAGAGACGCATCCGCAAAGCTCTGCTCGCTGTTCACTGTAGTGGAACGCGGCTGCCCGGCTTCGTGGCTGTCCGTGACGGTGTTCTCTCTGTCGGCCGATACGATTCACGTAACGACGTGCTAGAGTTTCAGCAGCCCGGTCAGCGCCTGTTCGCCTTCACGATCCACGGATTCAGTGCGGCGACGAAATAAATTGCATTCCGAATTAAATCCACGAGCACCGGAACCCTCATCTCATCACATTTTGTGGCCTTGTGTGTTGAATCGTCCTGTCCAATTCTGTGAGCACACAAGCATAGCCAAAATTGAGTTCGAGAGCCTGAACAAGGTCCGAAGATAAGATCAATGCTGTTGTTGCATGAGCGACGTGCCGCCCAAACAAGACAGTCTGAGATTTGGGAGAAGGTTCAGGACAGAGAAGGAAGCGCCGCAAACAGAGGAATAGGGGTAGCACAAACGTATGTCACGGTAAGCAAGGGCGGCACTTATGCAACACAGGGCATACAGTCATCTTTGCCGACGACAGTCGGAGGAGGGGCCATAGAAACTCACCTCATGAAAGACGGAGACGAAACTGCGCTTGGAGAAAGAACACTGCACTCAAGTAAAAAGCAAGCCTCGCTAGCGCTCCGTATCACGATGGCCGTGATCGCGCACACAAACTCAGCTCAGATACTTCTTTGGCGAAAGAGCGCCTTACAGTTGCTCACCACGGTCGGGCAAGGTCTAGACTACAGCAAGGAATGTGTTTACGGTTGCAGCCCGAGTGTTCTGGATATGAGACGGCCGGTAAATCTGTCCCCCGTCATCATGGTCATTCCTAGGGCTTGAAAGTGCTACGTCACAGCATAGCAACAATTTCAAAAATTCAAAAACTGGATCCACTTGGATCCAGTTTTTGTATGGATCCAAGCATATTTCAAGCGGTCTTACTCACAGCAAGGTGATGTAGCCAGTGAAACTGACTGATTTGGCGGAGTGACCAGGCCTGCAGGTGACCATGGTGACGCCTGGTGGCAAAGTAAAAGTCACACATGCATACGACATGAGTGGGTTGCTATGCACCCACATACTGAGGCAATAGCAAAGTCACACCTTAGTGGATCCAAAATAGAAATCTGATGTCAACTTACTACTCCCTGGGCGTTTTTGACGTCATCACTTTCAAGACTGTAGCGGACATGGAAATCCACCGGGGCCGGCGCCCTCAGGCTCAGTGTGTGCAGAACGCTGCGTGCAGTGCACAAAGTCATGTTGATCCGATGCGACCAGCGCGCTGCTGCGCATAATGCATGTCCACGTTATCCACGGCTGCATGACCAGCGCCCTGGCCTGGGGCCGCTAGACGTGCGACCGGATTTCCATGTCCACGGTGCGACAGTATGATGGCTAGGTTTGTGCGATCCCAAGAGTCAAAGACTAAAGCACAAGACAGTCGACTCCACTTATAACGAACTCACATATAGCGAATTTCGTGATAAAAGCGAACCATTGTCCATACGTAGTTCTACGTACCCGGGTGCGGTTTGTATACCCCTGTTTGAACCCATACAAAATTGACCCTTTATGGCGAACAGTTTTCGCTTATAACGAACCAAATCTTGTAGGGCTGCAAAGCAAGTGTGCTCATAGATTACTAGTAGTACATGTACAGTCTGTCATGGGCCACTTGCCAGTCATGATATACAAGTATATGACTGGCTGCTTGCATATTAAATGACGTGAGTGCATTAAATTTTATTTATAACGAACTTCGCCTATAAAGAACTAATTCTCCTGATCACTTGTGTTTGTTACACATTATCAGGAGTCGACTGTACTCCGTAGATCTACAAGTATTTGCTGCGACGGTACATGGGTACCGTACAGTCCAGCGACGGTACAGTCCCGCGACGGTACAGTCCCGCGACGCGACGGTACAGTCCCGCGACGGTACAGTCCCGCGACGGTACAGTCCCGCGACGGTACAGTCCCGCGAGTAGCCCTTTCCCAAAGATGCCAAAAAAATCCTTATCGCAAATTCGCAACGGTGCCAAAACAAATGAAAGTTGCTGAAATCGCATCCATATTAATTTTTCAGAAAAAGCTCAGAAGTTGCTAATACTAGTACTTCTCAAGTAAGTAATATCGCAACTCAAAATGCATGAAATGAGCGAGTTCTCGTGCATAATAATAATAATAATAAGATAATAACCAGGGAGTAGTAAAATCTATCACTCCCTTAGTATTGACTCACATACATGTAGATTTTTGCCATACCTAAGCAGTCAAATATTCCTGCATATTTCACTCCTTAGGGATATTGACTGCTTAAATAATTTGACTGCTATAAGGGGTTGCGCAGTTGAACGGTGCCTAGTGTGCAGCATTGTCACTGCATGAGTAGGTGGTGGTGCAACGGTTGTGCCATCATAAAACCGGGATTCATGAGGTTATCGTTCTGGAATTTGAAATACGGACTGTTTGTCGTGATAAATCTAATATTGACTTCGTACTTGGTCAGTATAGGAAATAAAAACCTCGTACTCAGTCAATACCGGTATTAGATACGTATTTTACTACTCCCTGATTATAACAAGGAACCGAGTGTATAATAGATTATAATATTACTAAATCCACGAAACGCGACACGTAGATCTACCCACCCTCGCTGTTGTTGCTGCTCGCCTCGGCGAAACGAGCACTGTTTCCGCACTGGAGCTTCGTGGTGAAAATTAATTAATATTGCACTGCCGCCGGCCGGCTGAGTGTAGCGCTAGCTGTACTTTCTTCAGTTTTCATGCTACAGGCAGCTTATACATGACTGTACTTATACTGTTATAGAAGAGTTGTTGTAGGCAGCGAGGTGGTGTTAGTTTTGCTGCTTCGTGTCGAAGTTTGTTGGGGTGCAGGCTATGTAAGAATCTGTGTAGGTTTTCATTGAAGTTTCCTGGTGCCTCGGAGGCTCTATTCGACTGCTACATACCATCACGACGTCGAGAACCGGTACACCGTTGGCGTTGATCTACATGTACAGCCTATCCGCCCACGACGTTCCAAGTCGTGTCCAGGATTCAAGCAAACCGTGACTCCAGGCTGCAGGAGCGCTCGCCGCTCGACTGTTCATCGTCCCCATTTGTCATGGTGTTCAAGTGATCATTCTGGGTAAGTGGTTAGCCAGTGTTGTTCAGTTCTTGGGTATTGTCGTTCGTTCTCGTTTCCTGAACAGGCCGCAGGGCATCGGTAACAGGTATGCATGGCTCATGCTACTGTCAGCGTCAGTCTCAACAACCCGATGGGCGCGTTCGATTACACACATTTCGGTGAATTCTAGAATTAATTACAGTCTGTCCCTGCGGGAATTTGCGGAAAAAACTCTCGAAAACTTGCGCAAGAAATTGCGGCAGAAAACAACAAAAACTGCGACGAAAAGTGCGGAATGATGCAGAACTTGCCAGGAATTTGTGGAATTATTCACAGAAAATTGCGGATTTGGGCCAAATCACGAAATTTGTTGCGTCGTATATCTACTCGGGAGTAGTCCGAGTCGTACTGTGCAAATAACCTACAGGATCATGGAAAGCACTGCGTGAAAAGTGCATAAAAAAGTGAGATATAGTGCAGAAAACAACAAAAAACGTGGGAAATCGCGGATTTTGCTGAGAATCGCGGGTTTGGGCGAAAATCGCGAAATTTGTTGCATCCGTGGAATCGCGATTTCCTGGAGGGTCAGTACAGTGGATGCACAGTTCGATTACACACATTCCGTCGTCAATTCCAATTCAGTCAATTCAGTCAATTCTGAAGAAATGGCGGAATTGCTAATTTCAGAATTGCTAATTCCAGAATTGACGCACTCAACGTTAACGCCATGCTAGGTCCACGTGCGCGCGCGAGGGTGCACAGAATCCCACGTGATCCCCATTTACGATTTTTATGTGTAGTCGTTCGTTTACATGGCTGCAATCCGTTCGTTCTGTTCATTCCAGAATTTCAAAACCTGGGCCCAAATGTGCAATCGAAAGCGCCCGAAGCCTATGTGCCTGTGTACTGCGACTGCGCGTAAAGCACGGTTAATTGGTGTGGGTTATCTTCACTCAGTAGAGTCGAGTCGAGCGAGCGGCAAGTCCTGGTGCCGAACGGCGGGCTCACGCTCCTACATGGCTATTTCCCCTTGTTTAACTAACCCCCAAGATGAAGAAGAAGAAGAAGTATAGTTGCCGACTGGCCGAAATGAAAAATAAGATAAAATAAAACCTGGTTACAGTCATTCGTACTTTGTTCGCAATGTTGTTCACACCAAAGGACGCGGGGAATTCAAAACACGGTACATACAGGAGATCTATTGAAACCGGGTCAAATTGATAGTGCATGTACTGTCGTGGACATGGAAATCCAGTCGATAGACCGGGGCTGGCGCACTCAGCGCGTACAGAACCGTCAGTGCAAGTAGATCCGATGCGACTAGCGCGCTGCAGCGCATAATGTCATCAGGTCATGCATGTACTGCTTACCCACGGCTGCATGGCCAGTGCTCTGGGGCCGCTAGACATGCGAGCGGATTTCCACGTACACGACAGTATAGTACCAACATACCTGCATATTAAAAGTCCTACCTGAATTACACAGAAGAACGTTGACTACTGATCAGTGCTCTATGCACGACGTGCGTGGAATATAATTAAGGACTAACTTCGAAGTACCAGTACAGTCGTGGCCAAAAAATGCGACCCGTGACTCAAAGGCAGGTTCGCATTTCTATTTCACCATCCATGGTCGAATAACCCATCAGAAGGCCAGAGGGCATGAACCCTGGCGCTACTTTCAGCTCCTTGATTCGGACTCCCCGATACACGTGCAAAGTGGAGTGATGCTTCCTTGCACATTTGGTGAGCGGAGGGCTCCACATGCTTCTCCGGCTCTGGACACGTGGGAGCAGCCAACTTCCTCAAGTTGATGTCATATGATGCAATGTGCGCGTATTATCAGACATATCTTGGACTTCAGCCAGTACAAAATAGCGCAAGGAAGCACACGTGATGCGTTGACAAGCAATAGAAACGCTGTAAATCACTCGGGCAAGAGGAGCATTGCATCAAAACAATGCCGTCAACTTGAAATTCTGTCGAAACAACACTGTATGCGGGAGTTGCCTACTCTTGGGGGTGATGTACCTTTGTCAACGCACAGAGCCCACTCTTGGAGCCTTGCCCACACTTCTACAAAAGTGTGAAATGCTTTTAAAATTATCGTTTCTTTTGAATCTGCACCCGCTGAAAACGTTCTAAAGAATATAGCAACAAGGAGGACAAGTTTCGCTCTAAGCATTTCCTATAATTATGTCGACATGCATAACAGTAAAATGTGAACCAATGCCCCCCCCCCCCTTCCCAAACCAAAACACATCCTACACTACTGGTATTAGTAGGGTATTACAGTGAAACGTGTTCTCCTTGTTGCTATAATATAGCCGCTGTCTCGGAAATGTTTGTTCTAAAGAATGTTTTCCATTTCTATATCACTCATGATGTTCCAGGTTTATTTTGGTGCGGTTTGTTGCGTGCACATGCATCAACAGGTGGTGACTGACGTCCGTTACTTTTGTTGTCGCAGTTATGGCTGCAGCAGAGGTATGAATTATCCACACGTCATTGCTTTGCGTAATTCTGAAATTCTTACACACACACACACACACACACACTCACACATACAAATATACACACACACACACTCACACGCACACACACACACACACACACACACACACACACACACACACACACACACACACACACACACAGTGGCCAAGTGCAAGTAATGTGCGCGTGCTTTTACATCTGCTGCAGCTAGCCACGGCTGTCCCGTCCCCCAATGAATGCTTGATCAACACAGCACAGATCTCAGTGCAAAAAAAGAACAGAACTTGCATGGCACGAGGTGTGCTGCTAAGAACGAGTCTTAACCAGGGAGTCATAAAATACCGGTATTTTACGACTCCCTAGTTGTAACGTGCTGGCAGCTTCTGTGATGCTAACCTCACGATATGCTAGCCGCTGGCGGCAGAACGTTTTCAAAATTTGGTACTTTTACTTTTTCTGCGCGGTTTCATGCATGTTTGGTATGTGGATAAAGACGTGGAGCAGAATTCAAGGAAGTGCCTGCCATAAGGTTTGTATGGTTCTGCCACTTTCACTGCTTTTGGAGCAGAATCTGCCATTTTTCTAGCATTATCTGCCAAGGTGTACTGTATACACTCTGTATGTTGTTATTGCAGAGTCACACGAGCAAAACATGGCCATGGTCAAGCCGGATGTTCCGCGGGTGGATCCCACACCTCCAAGCAACGCTCAGCTGCGGTGAACTTCGAGTGGAATGCTGTGCCAAGCGGTTGATCTCCGAAGCGCAGAAGAAGGAATTGATGACGATAAAAGATTCTGCCAAACACAATGACCGACTGCTAGATATTCTGAGGAGGGGTACAGCTGAGACCTTCCTCACCTTCTGCAATATTGTGCGTAGCATCGAACCTAAAGCAAATGTTTCAAAGTTCCTAGATGACATGCAGTCAGTGTATAGCTTCGTTGCAGGTAAGTAGCAACTTTATCAGTCAGGTGGCAGAGAGATACCAACAGAATTGTACACGGGGGGGGGCTCGACCATCTGTGGTGTGGCGACTCTATGCTTGACCACATCAAGCACGTCTGAGGTGTGGTGACTATGTGCTAGAGCACATCTGTAGTGTGGTGACCATGTACCACCGGCAACCTCATAGTTGCCATTTTGCCTGTTAAGACTATGTAGTACGTATGACGGCCATTTTCTAGTGCGCTGACTGGACTACGCTGGCTACACACGGCCTACATGCTTGCCTGTACATGTACAGCCAATACTGCATGTCCTTGAGTCGCTTTGCTCCATATCTGTACAGTGCATATTGATGGCACCAACCTGCACTGAAGTTGTGCAAATGTGTTTGTCATGATGTGTGTGTGTGTGTGTGTGTGTGTGTGTGTGTGTGTGTGTGTGCGTGTGTGAGCGTGTGTGCGTGTGTGTACATGCAGGCACTTTTGTGAGGAAGTAAAACGCTTTGGCTATTTACTGTTCTCTTTGTCCTCTCTAATACAGGCAGTGAAGATGCAGCAACTAGAGTAAGTCGAAGTCAAACCAGCCCAGTTCACCAGGAACCCATTACCATCACCCAGCACCAGTCACCTGGTCACCGTGCCTGCAGGCTATAACTCACAGCATGTTGGGGCGACTTTCTGTCACTCGCGTTGAACCTTTTAACCTTTCGAGTTGAATCTTGGTGTGAAATTTGTCGCCTGCTGGCGTGGTGACCAGGTGACTGGTGTACGCAGGAGCACGCTACATCGCAGCCTTTTCGGACTAAAACCATTCGACTCAGCGTCCAAAAGACTACAACATATGGACCAATCGCGGTCATCCGTGCTGTTATAAGAACGAAATGGCACTTTTAGTGACATTTTGCATACAAATCCCCATCTAGTAGGGCGCAGTCACCCAGTTTCGGTGGAAGTGCGCGAGTTCAATTGGGAACAAAGGAGGAAGGGAGCATCTCAGCTTCCTCGGACCGAGACCATTCGACTCAGCACCCCGAAGACTACAACTGGTGAAAATTAATTAAAGGCTTAACTTCCCCTTTATTGCATGTCAGGTCCCTGGCACCTAAATTTACATATGTACAGTATAGTGACACACTCGCATAACGTTGCTTGTCTGGGCTCACTTAGGGGTCAGTAAGTCAAGGCCGCGATCCCTGCTACAATAGTGAGCTGGGTACGATGGCAGTAATGTCAGAATCATATTTTGCCCTTTTGAAGAGGTCAAGGCGTTTCTTCATGATGATAATGCAGTTGAATTACTTGCTGGTGCATCCGTAAGTGGTGAGTATCACCAGCCGGTTCATATTAATGAACAGACTGGTGTTGAAAGAGTCAAGGACATGAGGTTGTTGTCATTTGGTAGAAAGGGTTGTATGACGTGTTGCAGCCTTTTTGATCAGCATAACTCGATTGAGGTCCCCGAAGACCACAGATTTTATAAGTGTTACTGTCGTCCATGATAATTCGATTGAGGTCCCCGAAGACCACAGGTTCTAAAAGTGTTATTCCCGTAGCTAAGCAAAAGACGTTACTTCAGTAATGTCTGGCGCTAGCCAGGGTCCACATAGCTTTAATTCCGTTTGTTTGTTTGTGCCTGACGACGTCGGCGTGCCTGGCGCTATCCCGTACATGTCCCGTACCGTACCATCAAATGCAAGATCATAATGTGAAGCAACTTGGAAGAATGTGTATGTATGCGAAGTGTATCAGGCAAATGCATGTAGGGCGATAGTGCGGGTTCGAATCCCATATTATGTCTTGAAAAAACTGGAGGAATGAAAAAATTATAACATCTCTATGCTGTTTTTGCCTAGGTCATCAAGGTGGTAGACGCTGTCGTATTATCGCATTATCACTTTTTTGGGTGTGCTGCTAATGGGCCGGGCATGTCACAGAGCAGAAGGTGTCGGCAGGAGTGCCTACACGGAGAGTAGAAGATGGTCCCTCGAGAGTCGCCGTGCCTGCAAAAGGCTAAGCCGACAACCAGAAACAATGGAGCAAGTATCTCGTCGTTTGGAGACTCGCCGACTTCGTAAAAATATGCAAAGACAGCAAGAGACCGCTGAACAGGCATCCAGTCGGCAGGAGAAAAGACGTGATCATAACCGAACTTGTTCGGTATGCGGTGACTGCGGTCCGCAGGCATAGGGCCGTCGCATTATCGTTAAAATGGTTTTGGGCGTGCTGCTAATGGTACGGGAATGAAATGATCGGGTAGGTTGCAGTGTTTTAATATGCCACTTTGTTGTATAAATAGAATGATGAGATGATTCACAGAGGACTATGAGGAAGACCAAAATGCCAGCTAGGGTGACAGTATTGAAGCGATTTTTTAGAACGAAACAACATTTCAAGTGAATTTTTGCACAAATCCCTTTCTAGTAATACGCCAACGCGTTCGCATTTCGGCGGATGTGCGCTGATTCGATTGGGTATGTAGGGTGCAGGGAGTGTTGCGGCTTTCTCGAACAAACACCATTCAACTCGGCAGCCCGAAGGTATTTCATGCTCAGTTCATTGTGTGTATGACTATCGTGTGCTGACTTTGCAGAGTCAAGCAGGCAACACAGGGCCATGGTCAAGCCCGGAGTTCCGCGAGTGGATTCCACGCCTGCAAGCAAGGCTCAGCTGTTGCACAATCCGCACAGCGTGCCTGTCCAAAGGCCTGCTCACCGATACGCAGAAGAAGGAATTGATGGGAGTAGAAGATGATTCGGCCAAACACAATGACCGACTGCTAGACATGCTGAGCAGGGGTACAGCTGAGACGTTCCACACCTTCTGTAGTATAGTGCGTAGCACTGAACCCGAAGCAAACTTTTCAAAGTTCCTAGATGACATGCAGTCAGTGGATACCTTTGTTCCAGGTAAGACATGTGGAACCTGACAGAAGTTGCGCAGGGGACGGTGGAGAGGAGACGGTGTGTTGGGACACGTTAGGGTGGGATACGTTGGGGTGGGGAGCAATAGGCATGGGCTCCGGGTGGGACGCAAGATGCCCACACCCCAGAAGCTTTTGGGTTCCAAGGACCCTTGGCGAGTTGGCCATTCCCAGGATATCCAAACACCAGTGGCTGTAGTGCGTAGCCATGTGCTGTGGTGTTGTATACAGGTAGAGATCGGCTATGCCATACAATAGCCTTTACTACAAAGTCGTAAAGTTATCACTTACACACTCTGAAGTACTACCTTGTCCAACCGCATGTGGTGATAATCGTCCATAGTGAACAAATCACACTTCTTTGAACACCAACGCTATAACAGATCTCTACCTGTATTCTGCCTGAAGAAGCTGGAGGTCTTGGCCAAACATGTCACCAACTGAATTTGTTGTCCTCGTATGTTTGTTGGCGCATGTGTTGGCGCATGTGGTGTTCAGTTTCTACAGAATGCAAGAAAGACTGCAATAAAGTGTTAGACCTGATGAAAGAGTTCTCATCACCGGAACGTCAACGGGTGGTCCACACTGCCGAGGATGTGGCACGAATGCGCACGTCACAGACCGTCCTTGACAGGAGAAAGAAACCCATCCACTTACCACAGCCAACCTCGCCTGTGACCATTGATCTGCTGAGGATGCAGAACATGGGAGAAGGTAGGCGAAGGGCTATTAGAGAGATTAAGCTGCACGTTAGTAATTTGTTTGACGTGACGTGCAGTTTTAGGTCAAACAGGTCTTCGATTGGCGTAAAACTCCAAATTTCGAGGGTCACATCAAAAATTAGGTGCAGCCTAACCTCTCTATTATCTACTGATGACTCGTTTGAACTCGGATCGTGAGCCAATGTCATCATGGAAAAAAGAAGGAGGATGTAATGTTTAAAGAGGCGTTTTAAGAATGCGATAAATAGAACAAAATTTAATGATGCCAACATAGCACCATGTAACAATCATGAAATGCAAACATGTATAAAATTCAATTTGTAAACGTTTTTCTTTCGATGGCCATCAGTGAACCTACATCGGATAGCGATTTACAGATTTACAGGTAAATAAATAATAATTATACCATGTAGAGTAAAACCTGTAACTACAGACCACCGTGACCATGGTGACTACAGACCACCGTGACCATGGTAACTACAGACCACCGTGACCATGGTGACTACAGACCACCGTGACCATGGTAACTACAGACCACCGTGACCATGGTGACTACAGACCACCGTGACACTGCATGCAGCTTCCAGCACCTTTAACTGTGACAAACGGCTAGCACGACACAATACTCTGAAACTGTCGTCACCATACATCACTATTCGATGTAGGTTCACTGATGACCATCGAAAGAAAAACGTTTAAGAATCACTTTAATTCTTATGCAAAAGAGAAAGGACCCAGTATAAATTAATCCTTGGCTCTCCATCCGAGTCCATTAATTTTTATAATTTTTTTTACATTTCATGATTGTTACATTGTATTATGTTGGCATCAATTGTTTTATTTATCGCTTTGATGAAACGCGTATTCAATCTACACGTAGAAGTATGTACGTTGCCCCATTGATTGCATTTACCCACTTGGAGACATCCGTTAGTGTCGGTTTTGCTCTCTCATTGTTCTTGTACATTGCAAGTACTTCATGTGCACTAAGCCATGCCTCGCATTTAAACTGGCGTGCGAGGTGATTTCTACCCAGTGCAATATACTATTCACTAGAATGTGTTCCGTTTTCATCATCCCGCTTCTGCTTTGGTCTTGCTCAGAACAACGACAAGCAGTGTTGACTGAAATCGATCGCTTGGCGTCTAGCGCTAGCATCACTGATGACCGTGTGGCGCAGGAATTGCAGTACCAGGGTCAGGTGACACGGGCGGATGGCCAAGTTGGTGAGCAATAGATTGTACCTGTCTAGTATATCACCATCTAAAGTGTGGTACTATCTCACCAAAACCAACACCAACACCCCGCTGCATGCTGTAGCAGCTGGTGCAATGGATGATGCTCTCCCCAGGGCTTTGTGGGTGCGCATACTCTCTGCAATGCTCTTCAAAGCGGTCCCTGATACATTGCTCCGTATCTTCCACATACTCCTCTCCATGAAACAAACACAGCATTGACTGGATGATTGAGTAGATCACATTCGGCTACATAAACTGACCGTCACTCGTACCAACATCACATTCACAACATCCCCTTTGCCTCCACCTTCTTTTCTCCTTTCTGTACACCTCTCGGGAGGATGGGGGGGGGGGGGGGGCACTCAGGACTGGCGAATGAAGACAATACCAGCATATCGTTGGGAGATCTACCAAGCTGAAAGACACCACACGCGTTCCTGTTGTACGCAAATAGTCATGGACCAAACTGTAATCACTGATGAATGGAAACTTGAGGCTGGGCGCGAATGTATTCTCAGTGCGGCCGGTGGCTTGTCTTGGCATGGGTGCGCTCAAACCCATCCCTCTCAGTCGTCGTGTGAAACTGATCTGAACTGGCTTTCACGGTGTTCGGCATGTTTGTCAATTTTGCCTGTTTCTCGTCTGTCGCAGAAAAATCACCAGCTGATATACAAACAGAGTTAAGTAAGCACCCCTGTTTCATCAGTATGGGCACTGGATCTACCAGGGACGGCAGCAGAATTTCAGAGACCAAGCAGTACTTGAAGGATACTGGCTTCATCGACGAGAACACTGTGATCACAGAGATCACTGAGTATGAACTAGTCCCGGTGACTAGGCTGGTTATTCGTGACAGCAAACGACTGAAGTTTAAAGGTCAGCATTACTGTGCTAGCATGATTGCGTGATTGCTTGATAAGGTAGCTGCCGGATGCCGGATTGTTTGTCATTTTACAGAACTCACCCTGCTTTGGGAGCTCCGCTTGCCACCTTTCATGTATATACCGTATGTGTGTGTGTGTGTGTTAGAGTGTGTGTTTGTATGTGTGTGTATGTGTGTGTGTGTGTGTGTGTGTGTGTGTGTGTGTGTGTGTGTGTGTGTGTGTGTGTGTGTGTGTTTGTGTGTGTTCACTGTTATTATTCTGAAACAGACGAGAGCTCGTATATAGTGAAGTTCATCATCGACTGTGAGTATAATCACAGAGCCTCGAGTTTCATTGACAGAGTCGTAGGTAACCTCTGCAATCTCCTTGGTGATCAGAGCATCCACGCAGACAGCGTCCACAGAGAGAGCGGAGGCACAGCAGTGTTTGTACAGATGTCTGCCCAGACTCATGCCAAGCTCTGGGAGTTCTGCAAGGATCGATCTAGCCTGCTCGCTGGTCAGCACATCCTCGAAGTGTCAACTGTGGACGGAGCGGTAGTTCTCAATTTCCGTCCCACGGCATGCAGTGGTGAAGGTAAGACGTATTGCTGCAGTAGGATTACACGGATAGCAGCTGTAGTAACCTGTAAGCGTTGGTTACATGATGATAGGGAGGTCATCACTAGTCAACAGACGACTGGCTGTCGTTTGGGAAAGTGGTTGCTGCCTGCATGTTTCGGTCCATGATGCTTGTCCACATAATTATCTTTTCTAGGAAACTCTCTTCATAGCCCAAAGTAGTTTTCACAACCAAATGGCTTTCTTGATATGCTTCAATTTACCTCGGGAGCAAAAGGTCCGAAACTCTTTGCATTCTTGTCCAGGTTTTAATCCTGATGACCTGGAGCACTTGGTTGAAGAGTTCTCCGAGAGATTTCCATCCATGGACCGAGATGAGCTGTCTGAAGCTGTGGCTGACCAACCGAACGTTGAGCATGCAATGATTGCAGTGACCAAGCTCGTCTTCGATGATGGCGGAGAAGGTTTGAAAGCGCTGCCTGAGATTCTTGGTGGTGAGTTTCAATACTTTTGTTTTGTGTTGTGTTGCGTGTACTATGTCTATGGGCCCTGTTGTCAATGTTTCGATAGGGATCTCAGCGCGTGAACTGCACAGCCAGTTTTGCGCAGGTGAAATTTTCGATCCCAAACGTGTCCAGTGCAGAAACCGTGAAGAAGAACATTTTCTCAAAATAAATCAAGCTGAAGAAAACATTTGAAATAGCTGAATGCTGCGTCCAGGAAAAAACGTTCTACAGCCATTTCCAAGCTACCTACGTCCCATTCACTCTCTCAGGGGAACTATGGAGGGTCAAAGAGCACAATATTTCACTCTCGGGCGCAGCGTGAACACCTCTTCTTCGGAGTGCGATGTCTTCTCTCTGAGTGATAATGGCGGCGATTTTCACGATGGCTGATCCACTGAAAATCGAAGTTAGGACAATCTAACCGGGGAAAACGTCTGATTTTTCTACTGAAACTTCTCTGAAGTGGGTTTTTGATGCCGCATGGCAAATTACAGGAAAATCGACTGGCAGGGGCGTAGGCAGTGCTTTGGCTGCCAAAGCACCCCCTAAAAAATTTCAATCGTGGTTCGCAGCTGGTTCGAGAGAGACCGTAATACGCGGACCGCTGATCAGTCACATGTGCAACTCTGCATACTGTGCACGTATTGTGCTACTGCAGGTGATTATTTTGCGTGATGATTCGCCATTTTGCAATGAAACTTCTAGTCAAGGGCAACTCCACTTCGTACCTACCATTGTGCAGTATTACCTCAGACCTCAGCAGACTCAGCAAATAATAATAATAATAATAATAATAATAATGTGGAAGAGAAAAGGACATATGGATACGAGTTAAGAGTAACTCTCCATCACTGTAACATGATACTATATACAGTCAGAAAGTGCAATAACTAGGCACAAAACTGACAGAGTACTGAAACATTCGACGTCCTGACACCTAGCTTTAACACATCTCCGTAGCGCTAGTCCATCACAATGTCATGCATGAGGAGTACTGTAGGAGTTTGGCTTTCGGCTTGTACAATTCGTTTTCGCAAAGCTTCCCTTTCTTTACTTATCTTTGATATTTATGACCCACCCAAGTTGGGTGGTGTGCTGCTTTGCTGCTTCGAATTGTAGTTAGACCGCTTTGTCAAATATCGTACTGGTCTCGTCATCGTCCAGTAACAATCGACATTCTTTGTTCCGTTGGGACTGTGGCTTTTGCTCGTTTTCGTTGCGCTTGCCTTCCCCTCTTTGGTCTTTTCCATAACCTTGAACCTTCCAAGTTGGAAGGCTGTCGGTTAGCGCTACGGAGATGTGTTAAAGCTAGGTGTCAGGACGTCGAATGTTTCAGTACTCTGTCAGTTTTGTGCCTAGTTATTGCACTTTCTGACTGTATATAGTATCATGTTACAGTGATGGAGAGTTACTCTTAACTCGTATCCATATGTCCTTTTCTCTTCCACATTTATTTATGGCTCAACATCCGAGTTTCAAATTGCACACCTGATGAGCCGTCACGAACCATACGGCGAAACGTACGTCGTGTGAAACCACTTGTTTTGTAGTCAACTAGTCCATCACAATGTCATGCATGAGGAGTACTGTAGGAGTTTGGCTTTCGGCTTGTACAATTCGTTTTCGCAAAGCTTCCCTTTCTTTACTTATCTTTGATATTTATGACCCACCCAAGTTGGGTGGTGTGCTGCTTTGCTGCTTCGAATTGTAGTTAGACCGCTTTGTCAAATATCGTACTGGTCTCGTCATCGTCCAGTAACAATCGACATTCTTTGTTCCGTTGGGACTGTGGCTTTTGCTCGTTTTCGTTGCGCTTGCCTTCCCCTCTTTGGTCTTTTCCATAACCTTGAACCTTCCAAGTTGGAAGGCTGTCGGTTAGCGCTACGGAGATGTGTTAAAGCTAGGTGTCAGGACGTCGAATGTTTCAGTACTCTGTCAGTTTTGTGCCTAGTTATTGCACTTTCTGACTGTATATAGTATCATGTTACAGTGATGGAGAGTTACTCTTAACTCGTATCCATATGTCCTTTTCTCTTCCACATTTATTTATGGCTCAACATCCGAGTTTCAAATAATAATAATAATAATAATAATGATTTGTATCGCACTCCACACGTTTTGTTAAAAGCAAAGAGGCATAAAATCACGCCATGGGTAGAAGTAGCAACACAGTCCATGGAAAACACAGCAGTTTGCTCGCACTATGTTTTGTGTAACGTACATGTGCATGTAGTTCTGACGGTTGAGTGTTCGCATTGGAGGTTGTAGAAAAGCAAAGAAGACTCTTTCATGTGTTTCAAGTGTTGGTACAGCAGCAGAACAGTGAAAGAAACATTGAAGTGAAGTTTTTTGGTGGGAAATATGGGGTATGTTTGATCAAGGATGCCTTACTGCACTATCAAACACGATGAAGAGAAAAGGGGTTGAGATCTCTGACTTTGAATATCTTGCATCTTAGCACCAGCAACGTCACTCGCTGTTACACAGGGTTCACAGAAGTATTTTTTTATGATGCGATGTGTGTTGCGACGGCCGCGAAACCGGGAAATCCCCCAATCACACCCATCGCATAGCTCACGCAACCGTCGCAACCGGATGCTCTCAGAAGTTGAGCTGGGCTGACGGGACATGCTATGCGATGTAGAATTCGGACCTTCTTTGCAGCAAAGTTGTACAAACGGTTCAAGACAGTTGATTGCTTGTAGATTTGTATACTATGTTGTACCGGGCTACACAAATGCCATGGTGACGTACGCATTTGCATTGAGCTTTGAGGCACGTCCTCTAGGCGGCGTCGCATCGCTGACTTATTCTGTGAATGGAAATTTGTGAGTTTACATCGCGCCGCTGCGTCGCAAATTGCGTCGTACCGCGCATAGAATAGCAAGAATACTTCTGTGAATCCCTCCGGAGTCTAAGACGTAAGGAGAACACGTGACCCTGCAGTCGTAACATTATGCTTTTCCTTTCCCCTTCCGGTCTTTTTTCTGTGTCGTGTTAGGTGTGGTGGCAAGAAAGGCAAATTCGACCGCTGCTCACGTTGACCGTAAGTGCACAAATATGGCTGTGATGAAACCTTGGTCCATCACCATGCACTTGCCATTATGTACATGTCGGTGTTCGTGTGCATGCATGTGCGCATGCGTGGATGCGCGTGTGTGTGTGGGGGGGGGGGGGGGGGAGGGTAAGGCGGAGGGGTGCGTGCGTGTATGCTAGGCTTAGGTTTGAAGACCATCTTCTTTTTTCTTCCAACTTGTCATGCGTTTTCTAGTTTCATGGTGTGGAGGAGAAACAGTAGCTGGTTTTTGTTTATAGGGTATTCACAAGACAGGCAAATCCACGTGCACCGGAAAGTTGCAATGGTATTTTACCTGTGAACGAGAAAAGTGGCTGAAAGTGGCCGAAAAGTGCGAGCGAGCTGGGGGCCCACTTTCACGAGTACATTCACACCAAAAAGCGCGAAACAAGACTTGATTTTTTACGCGGCTCTTTAGAACATAATTATTATTGTATGCGTGTTTTGAAAATTTGAAATACTCATGGCTACTGGTCGGTGAAGCATTCAAAAATGCAAACGTGCCTGTCGTCGAGTGCAGCTGTGTGAATCCACACAGTCACTTTTCTCGTATATCACTCCCTGTAAAACGTGCAAGTGCCTGTCGTGTGAATTGTGTATTAGCCAATGGTGTGTCTGCACTGTCTTTCGGTTTTAGTCTCCAGCCAAGAACCTTGAATGGCGTCTCTGTTATTTCTATCGCGGGAATCACTGATTTCTTTTGGTTCTGAGACCAATTATCTCTGGGGGCGTTTACTTACCCAGATCTGCAGAGGGAAGCGAAAATCAGAACTCCTATCTCTCGGGTAGGAAAGAATTGCAGCGAAAAAGACAACCTCTTCAAGACAAGAACAGAAATTTGTCCTCGCATCTTGCACGAGCTCCAGTCGACGGGATAAGGTGCCCATTGGAAACTCAAAAAGCGTTGGTGACGCGACTTTTGTTTGTCACCACTTTGGCCTGCGGTATTCATTTTCAAGGGGCGTGACACCAACGCTTCGACAACCTTCTTATCGGCTGTAGCAGAATTTAGTGTATCATGACAGTGCAGAATAATGCTTCAGGCTTGAATCTTTTTTCCAGCCGTTCTGTTTCAATTTATTGTTTTGTCTCCATTGTTGCAGATGCTGAAGAGGCCATTTCAACCAGTGTCTCTGCCAACACTGGACATGCAGTAGAAATCCAGGGAGCTGACGATGAGCTGTCTCTCGGGCCGCAACCAGAGTCCCAGGTAAGAAGAGACCAGATGTAAATGCTGTGTAATGCTGAGACAGATTTAGGTGTGTGTGGGGGGGGGGGGGGAAGGGGCACATGTACCCCTTGAAACGTTTGACGTGGAGCGAATCCTATTTCGATGAAATGTAGGCGGTCAGGATACAACATTATGATTCAGCAAGGGAAAACTTCCGAACGGAAAGAAGCCTATGCGAGTGTCACCTGCCCATGTCATGTCATGCTCACGGTGGAAACAGTGAACCATATCACTACATAGCCATCCTCTTCTTCCCCTCCTCCTCCTCCTCCTCTTCTTCCCCCCCCCCCCCCCCCTCCACCCCCAGCTCCTCCTACTAACTAGCATTCGCCTGCTCCCCTCTCTATTTATCTTTGGGCAAAGGACACTATGCACAATATTCTTCACTATTGGGTATGATTGCAACTTGCAGTGAGGAGTGGTGCTTTTTGCAAGTAGCATACCCTGTCTGAAACCGCCTGCCATATCTTGATCAGAGCTGTGCTGGAAAATGTGCTCAGTCCAATTTTCTTTCTTTTTTTCTTTTTTTAATATTCTGCAGTGGTCTTGTCATGGCCCTCTACCTGGTTGCGGGCAAGATATCCATCGTTGCACCATGCACAATGGGGATGCTTACATTGTGTGCCAGGAAGAGAAAGAACTAGTTATCTACCGGTCTACTCTTCCTCTCAAGGAATGTCTTCATTTGGATCCTGCGAAGGCATGGACCAAATTCAACCCCATTGGCCTCCCAAGCTTTTCGCGCTGGAGTTCTTTTTGTTTTCATGATGCAAAAATGTACTGCGGAATTTTCTTGCCTTCCAGTTTCCCCAAGATCTATGTTGTTGATCTGCAGAGAAACTGTTGTACTAGAGAAATACCATGTGATGCTATCTCCATGCATGGATTTGCATGGTTCACTCATAATTGGGTGAAGGTATTTATCACCCAGTCAGAGCTTCTCGTGGTATGCATTTGGCGCAACCATTTCTTAGAAGCTTTTTCATTGGACACCAGGCATGATGCTGCAGTATGGGTAAAATGGGATCCGCTCCGCATGCCAGAGTTGCCGGAGAGGATTTGCAGCAGTGACCGCGCTCTGTTTGTGATACCAAAGAGCGACTCCAATGATACACATTGGTCCATCATGAAGTTGAACGTAAGTGAGGAAAATCCGCGAATGCCATCATGGTTTGAGATCAAAGTGGACCGCTCTGAGACTGGTGGTGTACCAATGTTCTTTCAGTTTTCAGTTGCTGTGGCCAACACTATAATCCTGCCATGCTGGTGCTATAGCGATGATGGTGTATTCGGGGAATGTGTCATGTATGTTGACTGCACTACGTGTATAGGCCAGTGTTCAGTCTTGCCGTTGCCATCAATTCCAGCCCCTATCTCTCAGTTGATGGTGGATGGCAGTATGATTTTTGCACTCCTTGATGATGATCACTCAGTGTTTACTCTTCAGCTGCTATCTGACCATTTGTAAACATTAGTAACTGATCAGCTTCTACGTCCTATAGGCCATCATTCTGAGTAGGCACTGGCCTAGGACAGCTTATTGTGTTTTATAATAATCATTAGTATTATGCTTACTTGCGTTGACATCACCAAGCAAGCTTGGCTAGCCTTCCCATAAGTCAAATGAACAAAAGAAAAGAGGAACATGATTATTTTTCCCGTAGCTATGCAAAAGACGTTACTGAAGTAAGGTCTGGCGCTAGCCAGGGTCCACACAGCTTTAATTCCGTGTTGGTTTGTTTGTTTGTGCCTGACGACGTCGGCATGCCTAGCGCTATCCCGTACATGCCTCGTACCGTACCATCAAAGCCAGCTGGCCACCTTATTCCAATAGGGCTTGAAGCAACTTGGATGGATGTGTATGATGCGAAGTGTATCGGGGGAATGCATGCAGGGTGATAGTGCGGATACGAACACCATGTGATGTTTTGAAAAAATCGGAGAAGTGAAAAAATATTATAACATCGCTATGCTTTTTTGCCTAGGTCAACAAGGATACGGTGTCCCATTATCGCATTATCATTCGAGTGATTGTGGCTGTGCTGCTAATGGGCCGGGCCGCGGGAATGTAAGGATCATGTATATTGCAGTGTTTTAATGGGCGGCGCGGTCGTTGTATAATTAGTAGAATGCTGAGATCATTAACAAATAACAGAGGACTATGATGAAGAGTAAAATGACAGGATTGAAGCTCTGAGCAGACGGTGTCGGAAGGCGTGCCTACACAGAGAGTAGAAGATGGGAGGAGAGAGGTCCCGCCGCCTCGAGAGTCGCTGTGCTTGGGAAAGGATACGCCAACACCAAAAACAACAGAGCACATATCCCATCGTTCGGAGACTCGCCGACTTCGTGAAAAGAGACGCACGGACAGCGAGAGACCGCTGAACAGGCATCCGGTCGGCAGAAGAAAAAACGTGATCATGCCCGAACTTGTTCGGTATGCGGTGACTGCGGTCCGTAGGCATAGGGCCGTAATGTATGCAACCTACGCCGCTATTCGATTAGAAAACCCAAGCGCTTTCAGAGCCCTCCGAAGAGAGTCCGGGATGAAACCACGCACACCTACCTCAACCGAAAAAGAAACGACCTGCCACCCGTTTGCTCGGCATTGATCGGCCAGATCCGCATACCGCCTGTCCTTCCGCGAGTTACTGACACTGAATCTGTCCTCAGCACAAACTGTTAACTCCATCCAGAATACAATCCTCGTAGAGTACAGAACTATATCTGGGTCTTGGGGTGGTAAGTGCAACACAGCTAGGGAAAGAAATCTGAGAGAGAGAGAGAGAGAGAGAGAGAGAGAGAGAGAGAGAGAGAGAGAGAGAGAGAGGGAGGGAGGGAGGGAGGGAGGGAGGGAGGGAGGGAGGGAGGGAGGGAGGGAGGGAGAGGGAGGGAGAGATTGAAAGGGATAGCAAGGTTACTGCTGATATGCCTTTGCTGTTGAAGGCCGGGGGGATGGGGGGGGGGGGGGGGGCAGGCCTGGCCAGTACCTGTGCACATACGGGCGCAAATCAGCACTAATACCGTATACAAACATAGTGGACATGCACACGTCCAACCTCTATAACATACTCTTTGTCTTCACTGTGACATTCTACATACTGTCCATTTGTAGTGCATGGCAGGGAGGGCCCTTATGGCTTGTTAGAGCCCGACAGGTTAGCCCGAGGGTCGTAGGCCCGAGGGCTAACCTGGAGGGCACAACCAAGCCATAAGGCCCTCCCTGCCATGCACTAACTATTTTAGAACAAGGCTACATGCATTATCTCATTTGTATTATGCTTGTGTACCCTTCTATTGGGTAGTTTTGTGGTTTGTATGCAGAGAGAATTGGTGTGGTATGAACTCAACACCACTGAGGACTACTAAAAGTAGAATAGACGCAAATGAAATCCGGGGCTCTTTATGCAAGCTTCATTCTTAATAGCTTCTGGAGCTATTTAGGGGCTTCGAGAGCCACTTTTCATCTTCGGTTTTTATAGGGTTCCGCCAGCTGTTGACTAAGCATTACCGTAAAAGAGTACGGGAGGCAAAAACCAAACACGCTTGTGAAATACGTGGCTTTTAGTAGTACACCGTACATTTTATGCAGAGTTCATTATCTGCACCGTACTATAATGCGTACAGGAAGTTGTATGCACATGTTTAGAGTATATTCAGCGGGCTTTAAACTAATCCAAGGTCCTTGATGCGTCATCAAGAGTAGTAAAATTACGATTGAGCGGGCTTTAAATTCTAATAAGGCCCTTGGCGGGAATGTCGCTGATTGGTCGTTCCCTGGACAACGAGACAGGCCTCATTCTAATACCAGTCGGGGAGATGTCCTATCTAGGACATCGCACTCTGAATGAGTCTGATTGGTTACCTGTCCCAGAGTTGTCATGGAAGCGTCGGTCGCGCACACGCGATGAAAAGAAGTGCTGCGTGAGCATTTCTGAATGTATGTGGAGGATGCACGATCGTAATGGCGATGGATTTCTTTCCGAATTGGTCAAGTTTGAGGGAATAGGCGGAGAATATCAGAGATCGGCGGGGATTGAGGTAGTGTGTATTCCATTCGCCATTGAATACCCGGCCGAATGGCCGTTTTCGTTTGGGGATTTCATATGGGGTTTCTCGTAGCCAGGCGGCGCTTCTTTGGAAACGATTGGTTCTAATTATTATTCTTAATGTTTTGCCTTTGGAATGTTTCTTCACGCCCCGTGCGTTCATTTCGCCCCAAAACTGGTCATGCAGAGGATCTAGGAGGAAGACGAGGCAGCAGGCGCTAGGCCCGTAAATTACTGCCGGGAAGATATTGTTTGGCCAAAGCTTGCTGTTGGCGTTTTTGATTTCTTGGATACGACAGCTCTTGGCTAAAACTGGACCTTGGATGGTCTTTCTTGGATATCAACCCAGGACGTGGTGGTCATGGACGTATCGCCATCGCTTTCAGCCAGATCCTTCTGCTGCCTGAAACCAATGGCGAGAGCAAAAACTTTATCGCAGCAGCAGCTACTGCTCTGCTGAAAGCGCGAACACAAATTGCTTCGCCAATCCTCTTGTGCACTTGCAATTTTCAATGCGATCAAAACGATTCGCTTGCCAGTTCCTTTGTCCAGGCGTACTCCACAACGAGGAAAATAAAATTCGTGAAGGCAAGAGGCAAGATACGAATCTCGACTCTCTTGAGGCAAGCCGCCAGGAGAACGACAACTAATAATTAGTTTTGAGACGAAAGGCCTTCGCTGCGTTTGTTTTGACTCTGAGTGCGACATGTTCATTTTCCTCGGACGCGACACAAAGTTTTGAGTCACGTGTCACGATTACTATGGGAACAGCATAGTATGTATGCTGGGGCATGCTGGGTTCCGTGATGTCCTATCTAGGGCATCACCAGGACTGAATACTGTGTACATGTAAGTACAAAATTTCGTTTTGGAATTAACTTTCGTTATAATTATTTGGCAGCGGGCACGAAATATCTAAAGTTTGCACCAAACTAAAGTTTTTTTTCTGAATGTTCAGGGCAACAGACCTCAACCAAAAACAAAAACGAGTACGTAACGAACCTGCTGGTGGAGTGATCTAACAAATATTTGTACTTGTACAGTTGGAGTGCGGATCCAAGATGTGCAAGAGCTGTAAGCCAGTTAGTTGTAGAATGTCAGTACCGTCGGTCAGTGTCGTGCAATGTTATCGCATGAGCTGATTGTTTAGTAACTGGTGGTGTTAGTGGACATTATAGTGTAACTTGTAGTTTACACCTTCCATGTTGTTTTTCGTACGTTAGTGCGGGTTACTTCATTTTCTTCTGCTCCCCTAACCAGCAGAAGTCACGTATGAATTCTGATGAATTCTGATGAATGAATTTCAATTTCATTCTTGTGTAAGTAGAAGCACGTTTATCTTCTATCTCAACCCTTCACGCCGGCTTTCTATTGCGATTCTCCACCCATCACGAACATTTCCAGATCACAAAATGTGCGATTCCGTGATGCCCGCCCGGATTGCTGTATCTGTCATAACAAATCGACTAGTGTCTGTTGGATATGGGCGTTTGGTGGCATTTCAATCGGCTCAAGCCCAGCACGTTTCGTTCTCCGTGTGTACTGCAGGCTGACGCACACTAGTCATTGATCTGAACCCAATCTACGTGGAGATGTTATCGCACTCACTGCTTAGCACATCTTGATACTCAACAGTTACATTCTGGTATCCCGTTCAGCCATAGTGAAATTCTGATGGAAGATTTGTTTGGCACACAGGCGGAGACCGCGTGTAGCAACAGCAGAGCTATCACTTCGGGGTTTTCTTCATTTGCAGCGCTTAGTAACTCTTGCCATGGACTGTGCGGGACGGCGCTTAGTTACTCTTGCCACGGACTGTGCGGGACGGCGCTTCGCCTTGACTAATATGCAGGGGCGTCGGAACCGGTGCGGCAGGTGCGGCCAAAGCCGCACCAATAATTTTCGATTTTTTATTTTATTTTTTTTAGACGGGACCTGGCCTCTTGTAATTGTACGGGCAGAAGTAACACAATGATTTGTCATAATATTACAAGTATTCTTATTTCTCATATTATTCTGTAGCATTCAAATATGGCCTTTTAGGCCCAATTTTCAAAAACATTTCCCAGGGGAGGACCCCCGACCCCCCTCTCACACTTTCGCCGCACCAATGATTATGTTAACCCTTTACCGGTCTACCATAAGCGTACCGATACTATAGTATCGGTACGTTTGGCCCTCATTTTTTTGGGGTCTTGTTGCTAGGAGACAGCTAAAATGGCGCTCTACGCGTAGCTGAGGTCCAAGGCTTTCTGACGATGTGCAAAACAACCATGCTTACCATACAATTTTTTGCCGTATCGATCGACTGAAGTTTGTTGAAATTGGAAAAGACGACCATCCGCCATGCGCGCATTTCAAGAATGCGAGTGCATCTCTTGGGGCCGTGTTTGACAAGCGCTCTGAGAGCAGTAACATCACCAGTCCAGGCTGGATGTCCCGGGAGGTTTTGCAGTGTAGTGTGTTGAGAAAAAGAGCTCCGTTGAGTCCTGCTAGTTCAAAAATATATCGTCCACGAATGAAGAAACAAAATTCTCCAAACAGAGAGGAAGCCTTCCTGCTGCCGACACGGCGACAGCGACTGTCACAAGGACTCGTCAGGTGCGATCAGCTGATTCGCCTGGCCGTGAGAATCACGGCATGCGTAAGCTCGCGCCTGAGTACTCATCTGAGCG